CCTGCTACCTTGGACTCTGTCCACTTTGCTGGGGACACACAGAGGAAAGGGCTAGATGGGGTGGAAAGCGGGGGTCCACGCTGCATCAGCAGCCCCAGAGCCAGACCTTGGACCAGCAGACAGGAAGGGACTTTGGGATCACCTGGTCCAACTCATTTTATAGAGAGACAGCGAGGCTAAGAGCGAGAGGGGAAGGGACATGCCCACAGTCACAAAGCTGGGACCAGCGTCCACTGTGCGGCACCCAGGCAGCCTATTCCAGCTTCCCACCTGCCTGGCCACCCTCCCTCTGCCTCCCAGCCCATCTGGTTCAGGGGCCTCCCCAGACCCAACTCCTGCCTCCCCCAGAGCCCCCAGAGGAGGGTAACCTTATTTTGAAGACCTGCCCTTATAGAGATGTCTGTGAGCATGGGTGCATGTGTCAGTGTGTCGTGCTGTGGGGGACAGAAGCTCTCAGGGTCTCACTCCTCCAGGCCGTGCTGCCAGCTGCCCCCAAGTTCACCTCTACCCTGCCCTCACTGCTCTCAGTCACAGTTCCTGCCACGCTCCCTGTCCCCCAGGTCACCCAGCTCTGGAAGCCAGGCTGGTCCCGGCAGAGCCTCGGGACTAGGGTAGAGCATGGCTCGGGAGGAAGTCAGCAGCTTCTTCTGCCTTGACCCCCCAGGTTGTCATTAACCCCAACTACGAGATCGCAGAATCCGATTACTCCAACAACATCATGAAGTGCAGGTGTCGCTACGACGGCCACCGCATCTGGATGTACAACTGCCACATAGGTAAGGCCCCGAGCTCGCTCGGCCCTCTGGCCTGTCCGCCCGCCGTCCAGGAAACAGGCAGGGCTGCCCTACTTTCTCCAGGAACCAGAGGCGGCCTAATTTGGGCAGAGAGCTTGGGGAATGGCGCCAGCCTCCCATTTCCAGGCTCAGGAAGGAAGCCACAGACACATGAGGCCTGGATGGAGACTGAGTTTTCACAATCAGCTCTGACCAGAGAGAGGGCGGGATAGAACCAGGCTGGCCTTGCACAGACCCCAGGGCTATGTAAGGGCACGGGCTGAGGCCACCAACTTAGGCATGTGACTGCAAAAGTGCAGGCATCAGCATTCGTGGGCTCTGTGTATCAGGTTTTCCTCTGCCGAGAACCAGAAGCTAGTAAACCACCGTTCCTTCTGGTCACCAATAAAGACGCTTTTCCCTTGGATTACATGACTTGACAAGCAAACAGAAAAGCAGATTGCTCTTCTGCAGGAAAAGTGACAACCTTGCTCTTGTGGAAATAAAAATTAAAGGCACTGTTCACTCACTGATTCACTCTACTGATTCACGGAGAACCTGCCACGTGCCTGGCCCTAAAGATGCACAGTGCCGAAAACCTGCCCTGTGGGGTCGCAGAGCCCCTAAGCCTAAGTCCCCAGTTCAGGCACAGGCTAAGAGTCTAATCTGTCAAACTCTCCAATTCCCACTTCTCAGGTGGTTCCTTCAGCGAAGAGACAGAAAAAAAGTTTGAGCACTTCAACGGACTCATAACCAACCAGCTCACCACGCGGTAAAGCTGCCTCCGTGGCCTCCTGCCTTCGGGTACACCGCACCTTCTCCTCTTCCCCGAGAACGGAGTCTGACTGCCACTCTCCCTGGGTGCTGCTGCCTGATCTCTGGGCCTGGGGTACCCTCTGGGACTGGTGCTTGTCCACAGGGCACTGGGAGCAGCGCAGAGGGTCCAACTTCTCCAGGACCCCAAATGCCAGCCATCATCGGCTTATCTCATTTGAGCCACTGGTTCTCCACGGATGCTCTGGGCCACTCTCTTCTCAAGTTGCACGCGGGCATATGTGAGGTCCTCATCTCCAGAGGTGGTCAGGCTGTATGCCATTCCCCCTTCTCGAGGTCGTTTCCAGAACACTTGACTATCTAGACCTCTCTTCCGACAACACCAACTGCCTCCAGTGTGTTCCGGTCACAGGTGTAAACAGTGCTGCCGCGTGTGTTCCGACGAGGTGAGTTCAGAGCTGGTGCTTCTCTCCCCGCCCCCTCTTGTTTTTCAATATACCGTTATGATACTTTCACAGACTTTAAAACACAAGGTAATTTAGTGGCACTTGATATTGGGCATCTGGGCCTTTGGAAGGACAGCTCAAAAAAAAAAAAATTATCCCACCTGTGTAAGTGACTTATTTCTGTTGTAATTTTGCGGGTAACTGATGCAACTGTGCTATAACCGGGGTGCCAAGGATGCTCACCGGATGCCATGTGTTATCACGGACTTCCACATACTTAAAACTTGAAATAAAAGATCTATGGTATGTGCTGTGTTTTGTCTGAACCCCTGCCCCTGGGCCCTGAGAGGAAGCTTCATGGGTTTGGTCACCAAACACAGAGCTCTGGATACCTTTGGAGTTTCACACCTATTCATCGGCTTATCTCATTTGAGCCACTGGTTCTCCACGGATGCTCTGGGCCACTCTCTTCTCAAGTTGCACGCGGGCATATGTGAGGTCCTCATCTCCAGAGGTGGTCAGGCTGTATGCCATTCCCCCTTCTCGAGGTCGTTTCCAGAACACTTGACTATCTAGACCTCTCTTCCGACAACACCAACTGCCTCCAGTGTGTTCCGGTCACAGGTGTAAACAGTGCTGCCGCGTGTGTTCCGACGAGGTGAGTTCAGAGCTGGTGCTTCTCTCCCCGCCCCCTCTTGTTTTTCAATATACCGTTATGATACTTTCACAGACTTTAAAACACAAGGTAATTTAGTGGCACTTGATATTGGGCATCTGGGCCTTTGGAAGGACAGCTCAAAAAAAAAAAAATTATCCCACCTGTGTAAGTGACTTATTTCTGTTGTAATTTTGCGGGTAACTGATGCAACTGTGCTATAACCGGGGTGCCAAGGATGCTCACCGGATGCCATGTGTTATCACGGACTTCCACATACTTAAAACTTGAAATAAAAGATCTATGGTATGTGCTGTGTTTTGTCTGAACCCCTGCCCCTGGGCCCTGAGAGGAAGCTTCATGGGTTTGGTCACCAAACACAGAGCTCTGGATACCTTTGGAGTTTCACACCTATGGGGATTGGTTCCAACATCCCCTATAATCCAGTGTGGCTCGTGGGGGCCCCTTTAATACAGACAGCAAAACAGGCAACTCCTGCCGCCCGAGAGGAGGTTAAGGAGATCGAGCAGTTCGAGAAACACAAGTCGGAGCAGAACTTTTCCTAACTGCTAAGTGACTTTCACTGAAATCTGTCAGGGGCGCAGTGTGTTAGGACTGGATGGGACACCCTGATGTGACCCAGACAGCACCCCACAGGAGGGCAGGGCTCTGAGCTCTTCGTGGCCACGCTGGGGGAGGATGGCCTGGCTGCTGCTCTCACTTGACACACGGTAGCCCACTGTGTCAAGCATGTGCTCGGGCCCAGCAAATTAGAGGGTCCTCAATGACCCCAAAGCTCCAGAGAGGGCCACCTTGGCACCAACTCCACCCAAAACAGAAGGAACAAGGGCGCTAGGCTTCCCTCAAAGATGCCCTAGCACCTGTTCCTGGGAGGCCCTCAGTGGCATTCAGATCTCACCTTTGACCTCCTTTACGTTTACTTCTACAAGCCCGGAGCAGGGAGCACTGGGCCCAGCCAGTAACCAGAGCTGCCTACTGCACAAGACAGTAGGTGGGCCATGCAGATTGCTGGAGATTGTGACCGGGTGTCACAGAGCAGGTGCAACATACCTGCAAAGCTGGGAAGCTGCACAAGTGCCCTCGAGGCCCAGCTGGGATGCCCTGGGCTAAGCTCCTGGAGTGACATTCCTTCAGCAGTCACCAGCCCACACTGAGAGACTGGACAGTGCCCCCTGGTGTCTCACCACAAACCACGTCATTTCGAAGCAACCACATTAGAACAACTTTTAAGTTTTTATTTTTCTCTTAGTTTCTGAAACTAGACCAGCCAGAGCCCACCACACCCACACTGAAGCTCCAATGTTGGTGCAGGGCTGTTCCGTGTCGGTAACGGCTGTGGTGCTGGGACCCCAGCAGTCTCGGGGGCGCAGATCCAGGCTTGCTGGCCCTTAGGGTTGGGGATGGACAGCAGGCCGCTCCTTCTTTTTGTGTTGGAGCCCCAGGGCCCGGGCCACCAGCCTCCGGGCCACCGCCGTATTTGTCTGTGGCCTCTCCTTCGATAGACGCAGGAGCTCTGTGGGGAAAGCCCCGTCGTGGGTCTTGGGTTCAAGGCCCGGCACACAGCAGCCCGAGCCCATGAGCTGACCTCTCATTTTATGTGCAGGCCTGGAGGCACAACGGGGCCCACTGCACAGCCAGATGCTCAGGAGCAGGGCCTGCTTAGGGCTTGGGGCCTGTTTCTGGCTCTCTAAGGAATCCTGACCTGAATCTGCCTCCTTGCAACACCCTCGTCTCTGTACAGTGGAGCAGGGAGGGGACTGGTTCCCACATTGGTCCTGCCCGCCTCCTTGTTTTGGAAGGGAATTCAAGTCACGATGGGACACCTGGAGCTCTTGTACATACATAGGATCTGGACTGTTCCCAGAAGTCCGGGACAAAGGCCACGTAGCCATTCACAAAAGCATGAATGGCCTCGGCAGGCCTCTTCCAGACCTGTTCTCCCCTCGGTGCTTTGCATTCATAGAAAATCAGCCTCTAAAAGCCCCACCATGCTTTCCGTAGGAGAGGAAAGTGAAGACGCTGATTTTATTGGGCATCTGCTGTGTGCTCCACATGGCTCCAGGCAGGCCAGGGCTGCCTCGGTCTTTCAGCCACCCCTCCAGTGTGCCCTGAAGCAGCTGCTTATTTCAGAGGAGGACACCGACGCCCAGACTAAGTGACCAGTTCGAGGTTAGCTCAAACAGGTTAAAGAGCCAGGATCACAGAAGGGCTGACCCCATAGCCCGAGCTCGTTCTGCCCCTGCAGGATATGGTTTCCATGGCCCCCAAGAAGACCAGGCTTTTCCCTGCGCGGTGCCCAGGTGAGGGGTGAGCAGGAAGGCAAACCCAAAGCACGGCCAGCCGGTGCCACTCCCCAACAGGACCTCTGGGGAGAGCCGAGGGGAGCACAGCCCCACTGCCCACCATAGCCCGAGGCTCCCAAAGAGCAGAGAACTGAAGAAGGGGAATGGATGGAGGGGAAGACCCCACACTGCCCAAACCAAACACACTCCTACACTCACACGCCTCCCCCTCCCAGAGCCAGCCACCTCTTACTTGGCCTCTGCAAGGCTTTGAGCTTCGACTGCTTGGTTCCCTGCGTGAGGGGCCGGATCTTGAGCACCGAGAAATCCCTGGTCAGAGCTTCTGCAGCTGTGGAAGGAAAGCAGGCCTGGAGCCACCCGCTCCTGCATGAGGCTCCCTGGGAACCCAGGGGCACAGAATCACCCAGAACTTACGCAGGAGCTTCGGGCACCCACTCCAAGCTTGGGGCAGGGGTAGGGCTGTGCCGACGCCTCCCTGGCTGATCACGAGAGGACTGCTCGCCTGACTGCGAGCGCCACAGGCCTACGGGGGGACACCTAAGTTCCCAGACCATTCTCCCGCACAGCCAGGCAGGAGCAGCACTAGTGAGGCTGCCATCCTGACAACACTCTCCTCTTCACCACTCAAGGTCCCCCCAGGGACAAGCACTCTGAGCCAAGTCCGCAGGGAGTGGCAGTGCTGGAAAGGGCTACCAGTCCTCAGCTGCCCGCTGTTTTACAGATGAGGAAACCAAGGCCAGGGCCTGACCTACTCAGACCACACGGTTTGTGGTGGAGCCAAGGAGTAGCCATGGTGACCTCTAGGCAGAGCTTGTTTTTCCCAGCCTGGGAGGGCCTCTTGGCCTTCTCGCCTCCTTCCCTTTCCATGGGCCCCTCTCTCGGGTGTGAGCCTCATTCTCTCTGTTCCGTAAATACCATTCCACTCCCTGAGACCTCGGGCTCTCCTGAGGACTAGGCCCATACCAGTCATAGGGGCCGTGGTTCTGGGAAGCCCAGCCAAGAGGGGTAAGGGGTGACTATTTACAAATGAGTGAGCAGCATGTGGCCAAGGGGACAATGAGCCATGCAGTCATGGCCAGGAGGCGCATGGCGTCCCCAGCTTTGACACTGAGAGGCTTCATAACCTGGAATGGACCCTGATGTTCTAGGATCCTGTCTCTCCAGCTGGAAGATGGTGGCAACGTGACCTACGTCTCAAGACTGCGCTGAAAACTGAAAGAACTTGCCTGCACCATGTTCAACTACCAGCATTCGTTTCTTTTTAGAGGTTTTTGCCTTAGAGCATATGCACTCGCCAGAGAGACAGAGATAGTGAGAGGAAAGTGAGAAATCAACACCCTGGGGGGTATGGCCATGCTACGATCCCTTTTCCTCCATTCTCTTCCTGGGATCTTGGGCATACACACAGCCCTGGCATAAGTTTCAAGCCACCATGTCTGGGATTTGAGCCATGGTCAGCCTTATGGGAGTCCAGCAATGTAACTGCTACGGCGCCATCTGCTGGCTCCAGCATTGGAATGCTTTGACCTATAAAAAGCATTTTCACACCATTGTATTTAATCTGGGACTGCAGAGCGAGTCCAGCAATGTAACTGCTACGGCGCCATCTGCTGGCTCCAGCATTGGAATGCTTTGACCTATAAAAACAGCATTTTCGCACCATTGTATTTAATCTGGGTCTGCAGAGCCCTACCTAGCAGGACTCTGAGAAAGGCAGAACCATGCAGGCTGGGCTGGAAAGGTCAGGAAGCATGAGTGTTAGGGGCAGGAGCTTCATTTTATGGAGTTCTCTCCAGGCGAATGGCACTTACGCACATTAGGTTTCATATCATCTCAAACCCTGTATTCCATACAGCTGCTTCACAGATGGGAAAATGAAGGACGAAGAGGTAAATTTTGCCCAAAGCTGCACAGTCAATACGGAACAGAGCTGGGCAAGTCTTTTTCTTCCTTATTGATGAGGTGATATTAAAGCAAATCTTTCTGGTCTCCATTCTTTGTGTAGAAATTAGCAATAAGACGTGCCCACACTCCCAACCTACCACCACAGGCACTCTCAGGGCAGACACGTGGTTCCAGGGAAACAAGGTTTGTAAGAGAGAGCCTCAAGCAGAGGAGTAAGTTTGCCCATGCCACGTGCTCAGTAAACGTCACCTGACCCTGAAGCTTTCAAACTGAAGGCACTAACAGAGAGACTGCAGGCCGGAGCCTGGCGCTTCCTGGCCAGACACCACTTGGATCCCCCTAGGACTTTGGATAAGGCTGGCTGGGAGCAGAGCCCTAGGAACCTACTGGCTCAGGCTGGCCTGCACCCTGGAGAGGAAGAGCCTTCCCCAGGGAAATAAGGCCCCTTCCCCTCTCAAGTGTGGTCAAAGATGGACTGAGCCCCTGGGGAGCTGCGTTACCTGAGTCCAGGCAGGGAAAGATTCCGAGCGCGTGAGTGTCATCCACCCACTGAATCTTGAGCCCCTTTTCTCTGTGCAGGAGAGGAGCAGAGTCAGCAAATGCTCAAAGCCCTTTCCTCCCAGAATGCTACAGCCAGGTTTCCTCCCACTCCACTCCACAAACAACGCCGTGAGCCCAAGACAAGGTCCCGTTTCCTTGGGGAAGGAGATGACAATTGGGCCAAGCTTTTCTGAAGACCATGAGGTCAGTGGGTCAGTGTCAGGACAAATGTCATCCTGGGAATACGTCAGGTGGGCCCCCATTTTCTAGAACTAAAGTCAGGACTCAAAGACTTGGACAACACTGCGCCAGGGGGAAGAGGCTCCTCACAGCACTGTCACGAGCAGGCTACAAGCCTGGGTCTAGAGGCTACAGACAAAGGGCTTCTGTGGCAGGGAAGGGGAGCAGGCCCCACGCGAGCACATGGACTTCCTTCGGATCACTCAGGTCTATGCCACTGACCCTGCAGCCTGGGAGAAGCCAATAGCAGTTTGGGCCCACCCTGGCTCAGAAGTCACTGGTGACCCCAGTCCTGTCACACCTCAAGGGTAGAAAGCTGCCCCTTTGCCTGTCCCCAGCTCAGAATGTTTAGGAGCAAAGTCAAAGAGGAGAAAGGGAAAAAAGGGACTTCAAAAGCCTACGCGGGAACAGAGAAGGGGAAGTGCAGAGAGAAAGTGAGGGTAGAAAGAGAAAAAGGAAAAAGGGTGAAAGAGAAAAGGTTATATCTGAGGGCACTGGGAGAAAGCGTGGGGAAGAGAAGATGCACTTCTCAACATACCCTTCTGCTTCCCACCTGGAACCTCCACCCTGCCCAGCCACACTGCTCAGGCCAGTTCACCCCAAAAAAACAGTTCCCAGATGAAGACGGCCCTCAGACCGCTGAAGGTAACTGACCAGCTGACAGGGAGGTGGAGCGAGGGGAGGCAAGTGGGCTGGGCATCCCTTCAGGTGACAGAGGCCTCAGGGGTCCCCTGGCAGTCATGCAGCTGTGCAGTGGGGCCAGCCCAGAACTAGGGTCCCTCTGGATATGTCTAACCACCAAGAAATCAGCTTTTCTCCACCTAGGAGTATGAGACCCAGGCAACACACCCACACCCTACCTTTCTTTCTGGAGCATTAGGTACTTAGGCAGGGGGGTCGGACAGGCAAGTGTCCCCAACAAAGGGATGTCCTAACTCCGCTCCACAAGGCAAGCTCCCCACCAGCACTCACTGGAACTCAGAGAATATTGCCAGGAGGTCCTCAGTCTTGAGCGCTGGCTCAAAGTTGTAGATCTCCACCACGTGGGCCAGGTCCTTCTCTCCAGGCAGCTCCTCTATGAAGGAGGACGTGTCCATGTGGATCTTCTCTATCTGAATCTCCTTCTCCGTCAGGTGGTTTGTGATCTGGAGAGAGCAGACCTTCAGCAAGGGAAGCTCTGACATGCCGCACTGCCAACACTGGTTTCAAAACCACTCTGAGAGGTGAGCAGGGAGGAGGGAGCCCTGCCTAGCAGGACTCTGGGAAAGGCAAGATGATGTAGGCTGGGTGGGAAAGACCAGGAAGCATGAGCGTCAGGGGCAGGAGCTTCATTGTATGGAGTTCCCACTGGGCGAGCAGCATTTACACACATCACGCTTCATACAATCCCGAACGCTGGGTTCCATACACCTGCTTTACAGATGGGAACATGACGGCCACAGAGTTCGGTAACTCTGTCCGAAGCTGCACAGTCCACAAGGCACAGAACTGGGCAAGTCCGAGGTCTTTCTCTTCTTTATTAATGATGTGATATTAAAGCACATCTTTTTTTTTTTTTTTAAAGATTTTTGCCATAGGGCACATGTACTCTCTGGATTAAGACAGAGACAGGGAAAGGGAGAAATCACCCCCCCAGGGGAGATGGCCACCCCACAATCCCTTCCCCTCCATTCTCCTCTCAGGATTTTGGGCAAGCACACATACGACCAGCATGATTTTCAAGCCACAGGGTCCAGGACTCTGAACACCATCAGCCATGTGGGACCCAGTGCCTTAGCCACCACGCCACCTGCTGGCCCTAAAGCAAATCTTTGTGGTCACCATTCTTTATGTATAAACTAGCAGTACGGCATGCCTGCTTCCCCAACCAAACACCACAGCCAGCCTCAGGGGCAGACATGTGGTTCCAGGGAAGCGAGGTTTGTAAGAGAGCTTCCAGCAGAGGAGGAAATTTCATGACCAAGGTCTCATCACAAAGCACCTGCACACACACTCTGTGTAGGTTGCCTTGTGAAGCTTGTGTGATCATCTGGGTTTGTTTGTTTTTGCTATAGGGCACGTGCACTCACCAGAGAGACAGAGAAATCACACCCCTGGGGGGACGGCCACGCCACAATCTTTTCTCCTCCATTCTTCTCAGGATTTTGGGCACGCACACACACATGCCCAGCATGAGTTTCAAGTCTGGGTCTGAGACTCAAACCATGGTCAAGCATGTGGGAGTCTAGTGCCTTAACCACTATACCATCTGCTTGCTGGGTGTTTTTGTTTTTTTTTTTTTCCCAAAGAAGGAAATTGAAAAGCAAGGTGAAATGCACAAAATGACTTAGAAAAGCAAAATGACTTTAACTCCCACATGGTTGAGCTAAGATCCAAATCCACACCTCCTCGCCTAAGGTACCCCCATCCCCAGTACCCAGTCTGGCCTCACCACAACAGGCCCCACCCTCCACCATGACCCTCTGCCCCCATCCACCCACTGCTACACCCACCTCACTTCCGCCCTCCCTTTTCCGGGTTCAAGAGCCTTATCACCTCCTGCAGCAGCTCATTGTCATCATCCTCGGAGCAGCTGCCGGACCCCTCCGCCTCCACATCCTCTTCTTCTCCATCCTCTGCCACAGTGCTCTTCTCCAGACCACTCCCACTGCCCTCTTCCACGTCTGGCTGCAGGTGGGACACAGGCTGCGTGGTCATCTCCACCTCGTCTCCCTTCCCTGAGCTACTCCCAGGCCCCAGGGGCTCCATGCCAACTGGGTCCGGCAGTGGCTCATTCTCACCACTTTGGTCTGGGCCCTGTAAGTCCTCTGTTCCCTGAGTCATCGAGGCAGGGAGTCCCTGAGCAGAGTCGGGGTCCCCAGCACCAACATCTTCAGGCTCCTCTGAAACCCCGCCAGCCGGGAGCTCTCCCTTGGGCCTCGGGGTAGAGGTGGACGCCTGTCCTTCAGGCCTGCGTAGCACCCGTGGCACATACAGAGGCTGATCCGGCTTGCGTCCACGATGCCACGGGCCTGCCCGAGCACCTCGGCGATTAACAGTCGCTCCCTGGTTTGAGGTGGGCCGAGGACCACGGTTCTTGCCAGGGTAGGAGGCAGGAGGGCGGCAGGGTCCAGAGAAGCTGTCTGAATTGGGTAACCTGGAGCAAGAACAGGAAGAGGTCACCAGGGCATGTCTGGGCTCAAAGGAACATGGTAGACTGTAGCCCTTGTCATTCAGGGTGACGCTCTCAAGTCAGCATTAGGTGCAAAAGCCAAAGCCAAAATGGCCTTTAGAAATGAAGGGCGTCAAGGTGGAGGCTGAAATGCCTTCTCTGAAAATGCCCAGGGCAGCTAGCTCGCCCCTTAGTGCTATAATCAAATGAGAGATAGTTGAGTCTACACACCAGGCAAGGCAAATACTTCCATTTAGGAATGCTGTAACTTGAAAAATAGATCATTTTAAACACCAGGATCACAGTCATGACAAGAAAACACTCATCCCATGACCCACATACGAGAAGAGAAATGGCTGATGGCCCAGCACGTGCTTCTCCACGTTCTGGTCTCTCTGGGGCACATGCTCGCCCAGAGGAATGCAGGGCAAATCCACCCTCAGTACTTAACTGTGCGCTCACTCGCTCTCTCTCTCTCTCTCTCTCTCGCCCAATGTGCATAGCTGACTCTGCCAAGTGACTTCCACAGACAGCACATACCTACTCCACCATGTAGCAAGACAGCACTGCCTTTAAGCAGCTGGCCTGAGGATACAGACAGTAGCCCTGGGTTTTTGGCCCTGGTGTCTGCCAAGTGCCACCGTCCCAGGCGCTGCTAGGGCCCTCCAAGGTGGTAGGTACACACCTGATGTCCGCATGACAGATGACCGTCCTCCTCCTCCAGCCCTCCCCAACTGAGAAGCTGCTCAAGAGATCAAAATTCTCTGCTGTTCTGTGGATCAGGTACCGGAGGCGACTGGAGAGTGGAGGGAAGAGAAGTACCCTGGGAAGGGATCAGAAGGAGTGCTGAGCAGGGGCTCCAGGTCCAGCCCTAGGCCTGACTGCCCCCAGGCCCGCTCCCAGGTTAATAATGGTGGCTTAACACTAGGCTCCTTCTACCTTATGGGGCCCCAGGCCAACTGCAAAGGACCTGAGCACAGAGATGATTATAGGGAGCCACCATCCCGTCTCCATGTCTGTGTGGGGTGCCTTCAGTATGGGGGGATGCTCAGAATTCCACAGGAAAGATAGCTGGAAAACAGGACTGCAGGTGTTATTAATGACTACAAGCCAGGACCAGCAGATGGCATAATGGTTATGTTGCTGGACTCCAGTGTAGTTAATCCAGGCTTGAGTCTTAGACCTGGGTGGCTTTAACTCACACTGGGGACATGTGCGAGCATGCCCAAAATCCTGAGAGGAGAACAGAGGAAGAAACTGAGGCTTGGTCATCCCCCCCCCCCCAGGTGATTGCTCGCTTTCTGTCTCTCCGGTGAGCACACTATAGTAAAAATCTCTCAAAAAATAAAGACTAAAGGCCACAGTCTGGGCCAGCTGCCTGCCAGTTACCTGGGGACAGAGCACAGGTGACTCTTGGGGCCTGTCCTTTAGCAGAGAGTGGGCACCCTCATGCCAGCTTACTTTGCCAGCTGCTTCTGCAGCAGGAAGCGGTCCAGCTCCTCCTGGATACGCTGGACAAAGTCATTCTCGGCCGAAGAGAGGAAGACACCATCCAAGCAGAGAAGGGCCAGGGTGACGGGTGGAGAAGCCTGGAGGGGAGAGAGACAGAGCCAGACTCAGAGCACAGGTCCCGGGCCCACCCACGTCTCCGCAAAGTGGGTGCCCAAGGCCCTTTGGTAAGGTCTCCCCTTTGGTAAGTGAGGAGGCAGGCTCGTTGGCGGGCAAGTGCCGTGCCAGGGCCTCCCCGGGCAGCAAATGAGTAGGGGAGGAGTCCCCTGGCTCCCACTCAGCATCTCCCTTCCGCGCCCTGGGTCTGATGCTAAGGGGTGGCCTCGCTTCCCGCGCTGCGCTCGCTTCCCCGGGGCTGATCGGCCGCGCTCAGCGGGGCTTGCCTGGGGCCTGCTCCGCGCCACTCGGCCGCCCGTCCCCACTCCAGAGCCAGAGGGCCTGGGCGGGTGCGGGGCCGGCACGATCACCCAACACACTCACCGCGACAACCCGGCGTGTCGCAGTGGCTCTCAGAGTCCCCAAGGGCCTGCGCGCCCTGGCGCGCCCCAGAAATCCCCGGGCCACCGCGGAGCCTAGGCGCCACCGCGCGGTCTGGAGGAGATACAGCAGGAACCGGAGAGGGGCGTGTCCTTGTCAGCTCCAGGCGAAGGGCACGTGCCCTAACACACTTCGCTGCTTCTCCTACAGTCACGCGAGTAGGCATTATACGCACGGGTACACCGAGACCCAGAATAGGGAAATCACTTGTCCACAGTTGCACAGATAAATTCTAGAGTCTTGGCTTTGAACAGAGATGGGTCCGATTCCCAAGGTGTTTCCGTTTCCTGCCCCGCCCCTCATGGCGGCACAGGATCAGTTGAGTTAAGCAAACACTCTTGAGAGAGAACTATACGCTACGTAGTGGCCGTGCCAGATTTTCTGCCCCGCGCCCTGGACTTAACGGTGGAATAAGGAGAAAACTTGTTTCTGAGCGCCAGTTATTCCAGCACCCTTTGCCTATCACCGCCTTTCTTCTTTCTCACTGAAAATTTTATGAATCAGTCAAATTCCCCTACAGGGAAGGTACTGGGGTGTTCAACTACAAGCATGGTGATTTTCAGGCCAACTTATACTACCCAGAAATTATTTCGGCGTTTACCTGGAGCTTGAAATTCTTGCATCAGACATTCTTGGGTTGGGTATTATAATCTAGGAGACATGCTCCTCAAAAGGTATTAAAATGTAAGTCCTAGGTCATTCAGAATCCAGGAGCCCAGAACTAAGCAGGAGCCTGAACTAAGAGCTCTCAAGACACAAGTTTAGAACAAGGACAGGCTGACAGGTGGTGTGGTGGTTAAGGCACTGGATTTCCACATAGCAAACTGTGGTTTGAGTCCCAAACCTGGTAGCTTGTTTTCTTACTTCCTCCCCGCCCCCCTCCCCCACATCTTTCTTTGGCTAAAATTTCAAAAATAATAACAATAACAAATAAAATTAAGTAATTAATTTTTCTTAAAGAAAAAAGAAACAAGAGTGGGATAGTCTGGGTGTTCAGACAGTGCAGAAGGGATGGGGTGGGAATGGGGGGTGGGGGTTGTTCTTGAACCACCGTGGAAAAAGATGCCCAAAGATGGAAAAGTGGAGAAAAAAATGACATGCATTTTGCTTTCTCACAATTTCTTAAGAGTATTTCTTTTAAAAGATGGTACCATTAAATCACATTTACAAAAAGTACTTTTCCTAACACTCGCCAACAAGAATAAGGAGGATCTAGAATAAAGATAAAATCCAAAGTGCAGAGAGAATTACAAGTCTCCTTTCTAGGCACAGTTTTGAGAAGGGTATGTGAAGACCTTGATCTCAGCCAAGAGTGTACTCAGGTCCTAAGGACAAGGGAAGAACAGAGACATTATGTGGATTGGACCCTACCACCCTCTCCCTACTCCATGCTGGTGAACTGGAACTCGCAACAAACCACACAATGCCACCACTTTTTTAAATTTAATGTTTTGAATATTATTTTTTTTCACTCAATCACTGTGTATCATAACACCATACCAAATGAATTTTACCATCCTGAATATACTGTATATTGGTTCAATCAAAGCTATTACCATACATATTATCATCAAGAGATGATTTTCCATTTTTGTGTCCCTTAAATGTTTTGCTTCTTTCTTTTCATTTCTTTCTTTTTTTATAGTTTTTTTTTTTTTTTTTTCCGTTTTCCCCTTCAGGGCATGCGTGCTCACTAGAGAGGGGCATAGACAGGGAGAGGGAAAGTGAGAGATAACACCCACCCTGGGGGGGATGGTCACACTGCAATCCTGTCTTCTCCATTCTCCTCCCAGGATCTTAGACATGCATGCACATGTGCCTGGTGTGAATTTTAAACCATCAGGTCCAGGACTCAAACCATGGTCAGCCATATGGGAGTCCACCGATATAACCATTATGCCATCTGCTGGCCCCATGTTTTGCTTCTTTCTTTTTCCCCTTGATTCCCTCCCTTTCCCCACCCCTATTTCCCACCCTCCTCCCACACTCTCTCTGGTATCCACAGTTGCTCTCCATACCTTCATACTGTTCAATCTTTCAGTTTCTGCCATAGAGTTGCAGACATTCAGAATATACTAAGTGGGGACATACAAAGCTTCTCTTTCATTGTCTGCCTCACTTTGCTTAACAGTAAGTCTTCCATATTCATCTACTTCCTATCAAATGCTAGGGTCTCATTGTTTTTTATGGCTGAGTACTATGAATATTCAGTATGAATATCATTCATCCAAAGTATTATAAGGATATAACACATGCAACTTCATAGACACAACAACTTGGTGAAAAAATTTCATCCTGAAAGTTGACTTGGTCTATGCCACTGATAAAAACTTTGGAAAAGAGAAAATTATAGAAATATAGAGCAGAGTAGTGGTTGCAGCAATTAGAGTGTGAAGATGGGATGATTGATAAGGGAAGAGGAGGTAAGAGAGATGTGGGTGTTAGAAAATTTATAGGGGGGTTTCTTAGGTCTTATACTTTGACTGCAGTGGTGATTAGGAAACCGCACATGTTATAAAATTATATTCAACTAAATACACCCACAAAGGAATACAAGCAAAATAAGAAAAATCTGCAGAAGATTGTTAGATTGTATAGATGTCAATACCTTGGTTGTACTATTGGAATGTAGCTTGCAAGTTGTTACCATTGGGAGAAAGTATATAAAGGGTACATGGGATTTCTCTGTTATTTTTCACAATTGCACATGACTCTACAATTTTCTCTATTAAAATTTCAATTAAAAAATCAAATATTTAAGTACAGTTATATTTATATAATATTATAGCAAATTTACAGGTATAGTTGAAATGTCCAATAACTTCACAAATATAAGTAAAACTGAGCCTAAATATTTAAATGACATTTCTTTTAGTAGCTTTCATTCAACAAATTTGTTCTCTCATTATATAAAACACATATAAATAAAATTGCAATTTTATAAACTAAACCGTGAAACAATGAAAAGCTTTATTTTGGTTATTTTATAGCCTAATAAAAATTAAAATCTAAATAACTGTAAGCACCCTTTTGTGAATAAAAGCGACTCTCTGAATGAAAACCTCCACATAGAAAACTACATGGAATTTAGAGAAGGTCAAAGGATTAAAACAGGACATCCTGGATTTGCATTTGAAATTCAGCCACATTGGCTGTACTCGCACAGCCTGTTTCTCAGACCCCTGCCATCCACTGGGAGACCTTGGTTCTGGTTCCAGCAGGCCTCTCCTTATGAGTGCTGCCAGACCCCTGGGTTTGGGGGCCCTCCAGCCTGCAGCAGCCCATGACTTGAGCTTCTTCACTAAGTCCTATCTCCATAACTCATCCCCAGCTCTTCAGAAAAAGAAGAGGTGACATTATAGCTATTTCCAGATGATATGATTATATACATAGAAAACCTAAAAGAATCCACAAAAAAACTACTGGATGTGATAAATTACTATAGTAAATTGGCAGGACACAAAATCAACACACAAAAATCATTAACAATTTTATACTCTAACAATCAGCAAATTGAGATAGAACTGAAGAAAGCAATCCCATTTACAAAAGCCACAAAACAATAAGATACTTAGTAATAAACATAACCAAAGAAGTGAAAGGCGTCTATGAGGAAAAGTATGAAAAACTTAAAAAAAAAAGGATACAATAAAGTGAAAAAACATCCCATGTTCCTGGATTGGAAGACTTAAGATAATAAAAATGTCATTTCTACCCAAATTAATCAATAAATTCAATTCAATTCTGATCAAACTGCCAGAAATATTCCTCACAGGAATAGAGAAACCAATCATAAATTTTTTCTAGAATCATCAAAGTCCCCATATCACCAAAAAAATACTGTGCCAAAACCATAAAATAGGAGGTATCTCACTTCCTGCCTCAATATATATTACAAAGCTGTGATAATCAAAACAGCATGGTATTGGCACAAAAACAGACAGGCCAACTAATGGAACAGAATTGAGAACCCAAAAATAAACCTCAAAACATACAGCCAACTGGTCTTTGATAAAGGGCACAAGACAATCCAGTGGGAAAAAGATATCTCTTCAGCAAATGATGCTGTAAAAGTTAGATATCCACCTGTAGAAGAATAAAACTGGACCTCCCTAGCTCTCATCATTAACAAAAATCAACTCCAAATGGATCAAGGATCTAAACATAAAACTTCAAACTATGAAACTACCAGGGGAAAACTTGGAGATGCTGGCATAAACAAAGACTTCTTAAAGTAGACCCCTAAAGCGCAGGCAATAATTCCAAAAATAGATAAGTGAGACTACATTAGGCTAAAAAGCTTCTGCATAGCAAACAAAACAACAATTAGAATGAGGAGACAATCCTCAGAGCGGAAGAATATATTTGCAAATTATGCTTCAGATAAGGGGCTGATAATAGGAATGTACAGGGAACTCAAGCAGCTTACCCACAAAAAAAATATTTAATCCAGAAGATAATATGTATGGTATTTTCTTTGACTGAGCTGATAAACACTATATTCTGGATGGGAAAATTCATTTTGAATGCTGTAATAATATACAGTAAATTAATGTGGTAGTCCAGCACGCCAACTAGCTGCCAGACCGTCAAAGGTATCTATCCAGAGGACAGGAAAATCCTCAGTCAGAAAAACATTTGCACATCCAAATTTATTGCAGCATTATTTGCATATTGATAGGACATGGAATCAACCCAAATGTCCAAGAACAGACCAGTAGATTGAAAAAATGTGGGACACATACTCTATGGCATATTACTCAGCCATTAAAAACAATGAGACCCTGACATTTCATAGAAAGTGGACAAATATAGACGATTTAATGCTAAGTGAAGCAAGCCAGACTATGAACGGCATTGTATGTCCCCACTCAGTATATACTGAATGTTTGCACTTTATAGCAGTAATTGAAAGATGGGAAGGTATGATTGCAGGGAGGACAACCGTAGATACCAGAGACAGTGTGTAGGGAGGTAACACTGGGTAGATTAATTAGGGGTGAGAGGGAGGGGACCACAGAAAAAGCAAACATTTAATAGACACAAAAATGAAAAGTTATCTGCTGAAAAAAATGTATATGGTAGTATGTTTGATTTGACTAACATGCACTGTGTTAAGGCTGGGAAAAAATCACATTGTACCTTGTAAAGATGTACAGTGATTAAATGTAAATTTAAAATAATAATAGCAAATAAGATTATTTAAAAGATTATGTAGTTAGGGACCAGCAGTTAGCGTAATGGCTATGTTGCTGGACTCCCATGTAGTCGACCACGGTTCGAGTCCTGAACCCAGTGGCTTAAACTCACGCCAGGAGCGTGTGTGTGTGTGCCCAAGATCCCGAGAGGAGAATGGAGGAGAAAGGATTGTGGCATGGCCATCTCCCCTGGGGTGATTTCTTGCTTTCTGTCTCTCTGTGTCTCTCTGTCTTTCAGGTGAGAGCACACACCCCATAGCAAAAACCTCTACAAAAAAAAAAAAAAAAAAAAAAAAGATTAAAGCAGTTAAATAAAAATATAAATACATTTCTCTCCACTACAGATGGAACATATTTGTGGATAATTAGTATATCTAAGGAAGAAGATAATATTACTGAAATAGGAAAAAATTAAAGAGTAATATTTTCTTAAACAAACATGAACCTGCAGATTAAAATACTTTTATGGATTAAAACTGGGGTTTCATAATACAAATACGAGAATGGAGATTTTGGTAATATTATCTTCTCGGAGGATTAAAAAGGACTAATTTTTAAAAAATTTTAATTCTCAGAGAAGATAAATTTTCCTAGTAACTTAGATGCCTAAAGAAAATGTAACAAGACCTGTACAATTCTAAACGGAATATGTTAAGATCAGAAAATTCTAAAAACTGTGATGACAACAGAGAGATATTCTGAACCCTGCAGTGACACTGGGAGTCTATCATAGAAATCTACTGAGGGAAATGGAGTGGTCCTGGCCTGTCTGAAGCAGAGGTATCAGAATGTCACTGGCAGACACCCTTTGAAGACAGCCTGCCACATGTCCTGCAAAATGTACCTCTTAGGACTTTTTGTAAAATTCACAACTAGCTAGATTTTTTTTCCTATAATGACCTATTCAACCTATCCCAGAATAAATTGCCAGATGGGGCTCTTTGATGGACTCCAGATGATCATCTTATGGAAACACAAAATTTATACTTCCTAGGCTGGTCCTTTTCTTCTCTTTCTTCTCTCTCTTTCTTTCTCTCTCTCTCTCTCTTAATTCCCCTTTATTCATTATAGTGGATGTCGACATGCATATAAGGGAAACAGCGAGAAAAGAGCATCTGCACAGGGTCCGGTCACCCTGCAATCCTCCTCTTCCAATCCTCCAGCCCATCAAATCTTAGGCACTTGTGTAAGTACAGGATGTGTTTCGAAGGCCAATTGAGCCTAGGAGTCAAACTATGGCCACCATGTGGAATCCAGCTTCTCTTGAGCAGTATATTACCAGTGCTCCATGAAGCCCACCCTCTCTCCCAATTCTTTAATAAATCCCCTCACTCCCACTTTTTTTCCTCCTTTACTCATTGAAAATAATCTTTTTTTTAGGGTTTTTGCCATAGGGTGCACGCACTCACCAGAGAGACATTGAGAGGGAAAGTGAGAAATCACCACCCCCCCCAGGGGGATGGTCACACCACAATCCTTTCTCCTTCATTCTCCTCTCAGGCTTTTGGGCACACATGCCTGGCATGATTTTCTCTCTCTTTTTTTTTCTTGGAGAGGTTTTTGCTATAGGGCGTGTGCGCTTGCCAGAGAGACAGAAAGCAAGAAATCATACCCGATGGGGGATGGCCCCGCTCCCATCCCATCTCCTTCAATCTAAGAGATCTTGGGCATGCACACACGTGCACCCGGTATGAGTTTAAGCTGCTGGTCTGGGACTTGAACCACGGTCGACTACATGGGAGTCCAGTGACATAGCCATTACACTAACTGCTGGTCCATCCTTGGTGTAGTTTTGAGTTAGTTATTCAACTAACGAAATATTTCTCAGCTCTGTTTTAACATTAATTATCCTTCCTGGAAAGTTACTAGAACACAGCTCACACAATTAGGAGATAAATTAAGATAAATTACTCAGGGCTGGAGACCCTGTCACAGATGCTCTATCTCCCTCATAAAATAAATAATTATGGGACCAGCAGTTAGCGTAATGGCTATGTCACTGGACTCCCATGTAGCTGACCACGGTTTGAGTCCTGGGCCCAGTGGTGTAAACTCACACCGGGTGTGTGTGTGTGCGTGCCCAAGATCCCAAGAGGAGAATGAAAGAGAAGGGACTGCGGCGTGGCCATCCCCCCCCGGGGGGGTGATTTCTCGCTTTCTGTCTCTGTCTCTCTATCTCTCTCTGTCTGGCAAGCGCACGTGCCCTATAGCAAAAACCTCTCCAAAAAAAAAAGAAAAAAAATTATTATTTTAAAATTTTGAACAAAATACTCACAAACTGGGATGTTCGTGATATAAAAACCCTCATGTATTACATTTAATTTATTTAAAATAACCACAGCAACAAAATGATATGAAAATATCACAAATGTTGAAATGAGGACAATATTGAGTGGGAAAAGACAGACATTTTCATCATAATACATTAGAACAGGAACCCCAGAATACATTCTAAAGAACAAAGGGACTAACAGGGGCATCGAACTGTGAAATATTTAATAAGTGCTGTTTTTTTTTCCAAATAATTTGCAGGAGTTATAGAGGCTGATTAATACAAAAACACTGACCATATAGAAAATAAAAGATGGCAAGGGCAGAGGGGATTAAAAATAATCAGTGACAGAACCAAACAAAGCTTTTTCCTTTTTTTTTTTTTGTTTAACAAACTACATATAGGATAATTCAATTACAGTATATGACAAACAGTAAAACAGATTCAAGGCCCAGCCCCAAAGCACAGTGATTATGTACCGTGCATTGGGCGCAGGATCCCACATGGCTGAACACAATTCAGATACGGAGCAGCTTGCTGAAAATCCTGACAGGAGGAAAAAGGGATCATGTGTGATCACACCCCAGTGTGCTCTGCTTTCTCTGGGTCTCCCCTGCACCATATCCCTTTCCCCCGATAAGCACACACACTTGCATGAGAGCACACATCCACAGTCAATGACAAAAAAATCCATTCAGAAACAAAAACATGATTATATGTTCTTTACCAAATTCACACCTTAAGCAACACTACACAAATTCATTTAAGAATCTGAATAATGGGGGCCAGCAAGTGGTATGGTGGTTAAGGCATTAGACTCCCACATGCTTGACCAGAGTTTGAGTCCCAGACCTGGCAGCTTAGTTTCTCACATTCCCTCTCACTGTCTCTCTTTCTAGAGAGCACATGCACCCCAAGGCAAAAGCCTCTTTAAAAAATAAAATAGTAATAATAATAAATAAAAATTTAAGAAAAAAAAATCTGAAAAAGATGATCAAAACATCACACTGTGCTTAATGGGAAAACACCAGAGGTACCACATTTGAATTCAGGACAAGACAAGCAGACATCTATGAAAGTCTCTAGTATTTGACATTTTTCTAGAAACAATAGTAGCAAAATCACACTTACACAAAATTAAAACGGAAAAGTTTGGAAATTTGATGAAATTTCACTGTTTGCAGAATATTTGACTTTTTAATCCTAAGATCCAAGAAAATTAAATAAACTCTTACAAGCAAGAACTTTTTGCAGAAATGAAGACTGTCCTGGAGCAGAGGCAGCAGCTGTGATAAAGTGAAGGGCAGAGAAAGGTAGAGATAGTGAAGGCTGTAGAGGAAGGGCAGACCTAGAGGAGAAGAAAAGGAAGAGGTGGGGGAGGTGGAAAGACCAGAGGAGAAAGGAGATGAGAAATCAGACCTCAGTCTCTGCTCTACCTGATTGGCCTCCATGTGTGCCATCCCAGCTGGGGAGTGTCCACACTCTCAAATCTCTGAAGCTTTTGTTGTCCCTCAGTTCCCAGGAGACCACAGCCCCAGCCCTGCTCCGGGTTCTAGTTCCCCTCTTAAAGAGCCAGCATAATGGGACACCAGACTGGGAGGGGCGGGATGGAGCTGCAGGGCATGTCCAATAAAGCTTTGGGATGCAGACTGGCCTGATGCAAGGTGGAGAAAACTGGCTACAGCAGCCAAGGGAAAAATTCAGAGATAGCCTTGAGATTTAGAGTCTAGGGGCCAGCAAGTGGTGTGGTGGTTAAGGCAGCTGTATCCCCATATGGTCACTTCAGTTCAAGTCCCAGACCTGGTGACTTGAAAATCAGTGTGCATGTATGCATACATGCCCCAAATCTCAAGGAGAATACAGAAGGAATTGCAGCATGGCCATCCCCCTGAAGGGTGAGCTCTCTATCTTTCTCTTTCTCTCTCTTACTCCTCTCTGGCAAGCGTACACACCCTATGGCAAAAAAAAAAAAAAAAGATTTAGAGTCCAGAAACCTGACACTAAACTGATCTGTCCACCACTAGAGTAACCTTTCACACTGCAAAGGTAACATCAGATTTAGTCCCTCAGTCCTTCTGCTTCTCACCTGCCAGACCCCAGAAAGCTATGGTTCCCTTGCTAACATCCTTCATCAGCTACTGATTCAACGGGCCACATGGGCATGGAGGGGTAGTGTCCACTCTAGGGACAATGCTCACTCTAGTAGGGACTCCTCCACCACACACGCATGACCTCATCCTCCAGAAGCAGGAGGATGATTTCACTGTTTGTAGAAAGAATATTTGACTTTTAATCCTAAAATCCAAGAAAATCAAACTCTTACAAGAACTTGTTGCAGAAATGAAGACCGTCCTGGAGCAGAGGCAGCAGCTGTGATAAAGTGAAGGGCAGAGAAAGGTAGAGACAGCGAAGGCTGTAGAGGAAGGGCAGACCTAGAGAAGGAGAAGAAAAGGAAGAGGTAGGGGAGGTGGAAAGACCCTTGCTCCCCCCACCCCCTACTTCACCCCAGGCAGCAAAACCGCCAGGGGTGGGGGAGTTGGGGTAAGGCCACGTGACTCTGAACTAAACCTTCTGAACTAAACCTTCGGGTCTTCCCTTCCAGGTCCCTTTTCTCTCCTTGGTGCCAAAGTAGACTCAGGACAACCTGAAGAATCGGAGTGCAGAATCGGGGCTGCTAGTAAAAGAACCCTCTCTCTGGACAGGGCATGTCTCTGTAAGAGAGCACTAACACGTGGCTGAAGGTAGGCACCTCCATCGCAGCCTGAGAAGACCTAGAGCAGTGGCCACAGTCCAGGAGGGAGATGGAAGACGGGTGGAAGTCCCCATTAAAGGAACAGAACATAGGACTGTGGACTGGCCAGCCAAACTGCACAAGATGCTGGGGGTGGCCTCACTGACGCAGAGTGGACAAGAAAAGGGGCAGATATGTGTGTGTGCGTGTGTGTGTGTGTGTGTGTGCATGAGGGGGGATGAGTCCAAATCAAGGAGGTGCTGGGAGCAAATGTGACAGGGATAGGGAGGAATGGGGCAGACGAGGAGAGTCACGGGAGGAAGAGACTGGGGCCAGGGAGAGGAAGGGTCCGGACGGACGAACAGAGCGAGCCTAGCCGGGAGAGGGCGGCGAGGAGAAGCTGTGTTCCGGTCCAGCGATTCCCTGGCTGCTAACCGCATAGGAGAGTAAGTGCCTTGGAGACTTGAGAGCGCCACGATCAAGCGCTCACAGCCAAACGCAACACAGATCTCCTCCCAAGAGATGTGTGCGCCCCAAGCGCGGTGACCTCTTACCTGGTGTTCCTGGCGGGCGCCTGTCCCTCGGCTCTCGTCAAAGCCCTGGCCTGGTTTCCGGCGTCAGCGGAAACTGTGTCCCGAAAACCTTTTCTGCGGCCTGCGCCTCTGTACCTCTTCTGGCTCAGCTCCCTCTGGACCCCTGTACGGTCCCGCCTCACTCGCCATGAGCCCTTTCCCGGCTCCGCCCTTTCTGCCGCCCCGCCCCGCCCCTTTCCCGCCCTCCTGACGTCCAGCCCCTCCCTGGCCCCATCCCACTCGCTCCAGGGCTCACCCAGTCTCCGCCCAACTCCCTCAAAGCCCCGCCTCGTCCCTGCCCCACGCCCACATATCTCACCCTTTCCGCTCCCTATTCTCGAATCCCGCTCCCATGAAACCACGCCCCCTTTCCACCTTCTTCCGGCCAGGCCCCGCCCAGGCCCAGCTGGACCCTCGCTGAGCTCCTCCGCATCCCCGCACCACTCCTTCTGAGCCCCTCCCCGGCACCAGGCTCCTCCCCCGCCAAGCCCCGCCTTATTTCCCCTCCCCGGACCTTTTGATCCCGCCCTCTCCCCGCCCCATTTTCTCCGAGCCCCTCCCTGGCCCCGCTCCTTCCCTCTGATCCGCTCCTGGGCCCCGCCCCGCTCTCTCAGGCTCCAGTTCCGCCAGCTCTGGGTGCTGCACCAGACCTGTGTCCTCTCTCAGCCAGTTCTGCTTCCGCAGAAGCTCCTCCTTGTCCTGCCGACATCCACCTGTCCCAGTTCTGCTAGATCTGGGACCCGTAGAGTCAGGATCTGTTCCCCTCCCAGTCCCCGCTCCCATCCTCCGACACTCCCCACCCATGCCTGGTCTCTCTCACAGCCTCGTCCTTGCTCTCCCCCACTCCCCACTTCACCCCAGGCAGCAAAACCTCTGGGGGTGGGGAGTTGGGGTAAGACCACGTGACTCTGAACTAACTCTTCCAGGTCCCTTTTCTCTCCCTGGTGCCAAAGTAGACTCAGGATGACCTGAATGTTAGCTTCCACAAGGACGTTTCTGAAGCAAAGGAAGGATCTGGGGGGCCTGACACAAGAGTACCTGTCTGTGCTGTTAGCGGTGGAAATAAGGACTCTTGTCTAATTTATTGTTCTCTCCTTAGTGACCACGAGGATATCTACCTAGAGCAGGCTTCTAAGTCCGAAAGGGTTAGACACAGGCGAGCATTAGAGCCATTCATTCTGCAAGGCTCCCCCTGAACCCAAGAAGTTCTAGTTAAGTGTTCATTGGAAAAACAAAACAAAACAAAAAACAATCAGTTTCGGTTTCTGGAAGTTTCACTTCCAGACTTCTATATAGTAAAAGAAAGTTATTTATACAAAAACTGCAGAGAGGGTGCAGTTTACACCAGACAAGATGGCTTGTGCGTGTGCTTTATGAATCTGGTAAGAGACGATCAGAATGAGCCCTTGCCTCAACTGGGATAAGAACAGAAAAAGAGGAAAAATAAATCAAAAACGCAAAAAATCGATTCCTGTTAAAAATTTCCGTTGTTCTCTTCTAAGTATGGGCAAATTACAATTTCTTAGCCTCAGTTAACTCACTTGGAAAATAATATAAAGGGACTTTAAGAAGTGCTGACTCTTGCAACTACCTTGACACTAAGTTCCCTAGGGCCAGAGACTCCATTCAAAACTTCCTTCTTGGGACCAGCAGATGGTGTAATGGTTACATCCTTGGATTCTACCTTGGCTTGAGCCCTGACCAGGACTGGCAGCCACATGCCCTATAGCAAAAACCTCTCAAACAAACAAAAATGAAACAAAAACTCATCCTGGGTGCGTGTGTGTGTGTGTGTGTGTGTGTGTGCGCGCGCACACACACACACACACACACAAGATGCCAAGAAAACAATGAAAGAGAAGGGATTGCAGCGTGAGGAAGAGGGTAATTTCTTCCTTTTTGTCTCTCTAGCGATCACGCACACCCTATAGCAAAAATCTTAAAAAAAAAAAAAAAAATTCCTTCTTGCCTCCAATGATTGTTACCTGAGACAAAACACACACCTTAGGTTTACTTTTGAACTTTCCTGGGGCTGAAAACTCGGGCATATTTTGAATAGCCAGTTCTCTTCCTTCAAGTTCTAAATAAATTTCTTTTACCCTAGGCTAGCCCGTTAAGAGAATCCAGTGAGCCGGTCTACATTCATTTACTACACAGAGTATAGTATGCTATTCTCACTGCAAACCTGGTGCCATGGGAGATCTTCCAGCCTGCTCCTGACCCTACACTGTCTCAAAGCCCATCTCCTCCCCAGGGCATGGCAAACACCACGCTCACAGTAAACATCAGTGCCAGACTAAAATATGGTACAATCACATGGACAGAATTAGGGCATTTATATATAAAGAATATACAGAATATAAAGAGAACAGGTGGCGCCAGCAGGTGGCATGATGGTTATGGTACTGGACTCCCACAGGGCCGGCCATAGTTAAAATCCCAGACCTGGCAGCTCAAAAATCATGCCAGGTGCATGAACGTGCATGCCCAAAATCCTGAGAGGAAAAACAGAGAAGGGCCCGACATGGCCCTCTCCCCTGGGGGGGCTGATTTCTCACTTCTCTCTCTCTCTCTCATGAGCACATGCCCTATGGTAAAATCAAAAGAACAGGTGATGGAAAATACATTCAACCAATGGCACGCTGGTAAAAACCAAGGGGGCCGGGACCAGCAGTTAGCGTAATGGCTATATCACTGGACTCCCATGTAGTCGACTGAGGTTCAAGTCCTGGACCCAGTGGCTTAAAGTCACGCCGGGTACGTGTGTGTGCATGCCCAAGATCCCGAGAGGAGAATGGAGGAGAAGGGACTGCGGCGTGGCCATCCCCTCTGGGGGGGTGATTTCTCGCTTTCTAGCTCTCTGTCTCTTTCTGGCGAGCACACAGTCCCAATAAGAGAACACCTCTCCAAAAAAAGAAAAGAAAAAAATAAATAAATAAAACCAAGGGGGCCATTCAGAGAAAGAGCCTGCCCCAGGAGGGCATCAGAGTGCTAGTCTGAAGCCTTCACATTTTCCCAGGACCTTAAGTGGAAGAACCAAGCATGCATGTGTTGGGAGCCGGGACAAGGCCTGAGGGAAGAAATGTAATAGAACCAAAAGATGAAACAAGGACAACCTCTCGGGTGTTTTTCTTTTAATTATTTACCAGATTAAAAAAAAGAAAAAATAGTGATTGTTTCTCTTCACCCCCAACATTTCTGTTTCCCAAGGTCAAGTGGGAGAGAACTTCATGGAACAGTGATTGGTGCTCCTGGCCTGGAGCAATTTCTTCCCCTCTGCTCTGGGCCCCCTCAAGCGTGAGGGACAGGGCAAAGGGCTCCAGGGAGAAAGCCTTGTACTTAGGTAGCAGAGTGGCAGTGGGGTGTCATCTGTTCTCCCTGCTGCCAGAGCATTCAGACAGTCCCCTGTCCGCTCCTTCCACCCTCCCCACCTCATCATGGGAAGCAGGAAGGTAGAACTGTGGCAGTAGGGCCCCAGAGCATGTGGCAGACGTGGCAGAAGCCACAAACACCCGCCTCTCCTTCCCGCC